GGCGGCGGGCCCGCGACGCCCGGGGGGGGCGGGCGCCCCCCCGCGGCCGCGACGACCGGGGCAGCCGGTCGCCGCCGCCGCGCGACGGCGCCGCCGCCGAGGAGACGAAGGACGTCGGCGACGCCGGCGGCGTCGGCGACCGCCTCGACGGCGCGCTCGACCGGTCCCTGGCGCTGCGCCGCGGCGAGGCGCACCGGGGCCGCAAGGGCGAGCACGGCCGCCGCGAGCCGCCGCCTGACGCGGCGGGCGCGGAGCCGCACCGCGTCGCGGACGGGCGGCCGACGACCGGCCGCGACGCGATGAAGCCCTCGGTCTTCGAGGCGCGGTCCATCCCCTTCGTGCTCCGCAAGCTCCACGCCTTCGTCCTCGCGCCCGCGCCGTCCGGCGGCGGCGTCGTCGTCCGGTGCTTCATCGAGCGGAACCGGAGCGGCCGCCACGCGCTCTTCCCGCTCTACAAGCTCTACGCGGACCACGAGGACGGCACGGGCCGCCTCCTCGTCGCCGCGCGCAAGCTCCCGGGCAACGGCACGTCCCACTACGCGTTCTCGACGTCGCCCGCGGACCTCTACAAGGCGCGCGGGAACCGGAGCCGCCACTACCTCGGCAAGCTCCGGGCCAACGGCGCGACGTCGGAGTACACGCTCTTCTCCGCGGGCGACAAGCCACCGGCGGGCGCGGCCGGGGCCGGCGCGCGGCCGCCGCGCGGCGACCCGCCCGGCGACGCGCGGTGCGAGATGGCCGCCGTCGCCTTCAGCTCGAAGCGGTCCGCGCCGACGAACCCGCGGCGCATGGAGGTCGCCGTGCCCCAGACGCGGTGGCGCCCGCGGAACGCCGACGACGGGCCGAGGCACGACGACGACCTCGACGACGGCGTCGTCGCCGTCGCGTCGTTCCGGCCCGCGCGCGACCAGGACTCGCTCTGCCACACGCTGAACCTGGCCCAGGGCCAGGGCGCGCAGAACGTGCTCCACGCGGACCGCATCGCCGTGCTCCACATGCGCGAGTCCAAGTACGACCCGCTGTCGTCGTGCCTCGTCGACTTCAAGGCCCGCGCGAACATGGCGTCCGTCAAGAACTTCCAGCTCGTCAAGTCGTCGCCCGTCGAGGACCACATGAAGAAGGAGTACTTCGCGCCGGGCGGCGAGGGCGCGCGCGAGAACCCGAACCCGGACGCGGCCCAGCCCATCATCCTCCAGATGGGCAAGGTCGGCAAGAACTGCTTCAACATGGACTACCAGTTCCCCATGTCCATGCTCCAGGCCTTCGCCACCTGCATCGCGCGCTTCGACACGCGCGTCGCGACCTAGGGGGCGACGGCGCCCCGGCGCGGGGCGCGCTTATCGGCCTTGCTTCGTCGCGGCGCGCGTCGCGGGGTGGGCCGGGCCTTAGGGGTTAGGGGTATTTCGGGTCCGCGGAAGGGTTCTGGAGGGCTTCTGGAGGGCTTCTGGCACGTGGCATGGGGCGGGTCGCGCCCCCTAAGGCGTGGGTGGCGCGTCAGAGGTCCCCGGCGAGGCGTGAGCGGCGGTGTTGAGGTCCATTTTGAAGGGCAAGCGGCTGTGTTGAGGTCCCTGTTGAAGTGCAAGGTTTGAGGTTGAAGTCCAAGTTGAAGCGGCCTTTAACATATCCCGCCGGCGGGATATGTTACTACGCGCGGCCGGGCCGCGTCGCCGCGCGCGGCTCGAGCGCGCGCCGGAGCACCTCCCGCAGCTCCCGGGGGCCCAGCCCTCGTCGAGCCCGCGCGCGTCGACGAACAGCCGGAACACGACGAGGTCGCCGGGCCGGCCGCCGTCTTTGTCCGTCGGGTCGAAGGTCCCGTCCGCCGGCCACCGGTCCGGGAAGCAGCGCGCCGGGTCCCACCGCGCCGGGTCCGTCGGGTCCGCGACGACCGCTCGTACGTCGTGCGCCTCGCGCTCGTCGTACCGCACCCAGCTCACCGTCATCTCGCGCGCGGCGGCCGCGATCGACGCCGTCGCGATCGTCGGGCGCGAGCCGCCGAGGTCGAGGTGGTGCTGGAAGCTGTTGCCGAAGCTGCCCACGTGGGCCTCGCGCGGCCGACAGCCGTCCGCCGCGAGCGCGAAGACGATCTGCAGGCAGCAATCCCACGAGTCGGGGAGCACGACGTGCGGGAAACGCACGTAGACGAGCGGCGCGTCGCGCCGCCGATCCCAGTCCATCATGTACGTCTGGGGTGCCTGGACGTTGCCCGAGATGTGCTCGAGGTTGGACTTGACGAACGGACGCGCATGGCGGAGAGCGTGTACATATCCTCCGTCGTCCGCATAATTGTCGAGCGCACTCATCGCGCTAGCACGCACGAGTAGGCACGCCCGGAAGCCATGCTGAGTAAACCGCCCCGCATTCTTCAATTCGCCTTCAGCCATTATTCTTGAGGCCAGCCTCTGTGCAATTATGGGCCTCCCCGCGCTCGCAGTCTGTGCGGCGCTCCTGCCGACGATCCAGGCCGGCCGCCTCTCCACGGAGGCGGTCGCTTTGCTCGAGCGCGCGGCGAGCCCGGCGCTCGGCGGCGTCGCGGCGCCCTGGCCCGGCGCCGGCTTCCTCTCTTCGGCGACGTCGGCCCTCGTCGCCTACGCGTACGCGTCGCGGTCCTGCGGCCGCGCGACGCGCGAGTTCGAGGCGTCGCTGCGCTACCAGCGCGCCGACGGCCTCGTGCCCGCCTACGCCGCGCCGGACGCGGCCGCGTTCGCCGCCGCGGGTTCCGGGCTGCCGCCGCTCGCGTTCTGGAACGCGACGGGCGCGCTCGAGGGGCCGGCGGCCCCGCTGGCGGCGCTGCCGCTCCACGCCGTCGCCGCGCTGCAGATCTACCGCGGCTGCGGCGACCGCGAGCTCGCGTCGGCCTGGGCCGCGCGGATGGCGCCGAAGCTGTACGCGTGGCACCGGTTCCTCCGGAGCGGCCGCGACGCGGGCGGCGGCGCGGTCTGGCTCGCGCACCCCCTCGAGGCCGAGGCGCCCTGGCGTCCCGGCGACGCGCCGGATGTCGACGACGGCCGCAAGTGGTCCCGGTGCCTCGCGAAGAGGCCGCCCGCGCCGTGCGGCGGCTACGCGGTCGTCGACGCGCGCTTCAACGCCGTCCTCGCGCGCAGCGACGTCGCCCTCGGCGCCCTCGTCGACGCCCTCGAGCGGCGCGCCGTGCTCACGCGCGGCGCCGCGCCGCCGCTCGCGCGCGACGACGCCGCGGCCGTCGCCGCGTGGCGGTCCGCGGCGGCCGCCGGCGCGCCCCTACGGACGCTGGCGACGCCCCGGGGCGCGCTCGTGAGCCGCGACGCGTCGGGCCGCGCCGTACCCGGCGGCGGCGTCGCGGACCTGGGCGCCGTCTTCGCGCCGGGATTCGCGGACGCGCGCGCGGCGCGCGACGCGGCCGTCGCCGCGCTCGTCTCCGCGGCCGCGAGCCCGTCCTTCGCCTGCGGCGCGGCGCCCATCGTCGACGCGGGCTGCGACGTCTCCGGCGGCGGCGCGGCGACCTGGCCCCGGGGCGCGCGCGCGCGGCCCCGCGACAACGTCTTCGTCGAGCGGGGCCTCCGCGGCGCGGGCGCGGCGTCCGTCGCCGACTGGCTCCGCAACGCGACGGCCGCGCTCGTGCTCACCGCGGGCGGCGCGGGGCCCGGCGTGACGTTCTACGACGCCTACGACGGCGCCGGCGCCGGCGCGGGCCGCCGCGACGCCGTCGCGACCGCGGCGGCCGCGCTCGTCCTCGAGTCCCGCGACCTCGGCGGCGACGACGTCGACGACGCGCCCGTGTCCCGCGGCGTCGTCACGCTCGTCGTCGCCCTCGCCATGGCCGTCGCCTTCGGCGTCGCCTTCGCCTGCCTCGGCCTCAACATCGCCATGATCCGCGCGCTGAAGTCCGAGCCGCGGCGGCAGCGCAGGCCTCCCGCGGGACCGCGGCAGCGCTCCCCGACGAAGCGGTCCCCGGCGAAGACGGCGCAGGTCGTGTAAGCTAGCGCGGCGACAGGCTCACGTCGGAGAACGCCTCGGCCTCGGCGAGCAGGGGGCTCGCCGTCTCGTCCGCGGCCTGGTAGCTCTTCTGTTTCGTCATGTAGATCTCGCCCGGCCGCCGCGGCGCGAACAAGTGGCAGAGGCCCGAGAGGAGGGACGCGAGCTGGCGCTCGCGCGAGAACGTGACGAGGCAGAGCCCGGAGACGAGGCTCGCCAGACCGACCCAGAAGAGCGCGTTCCGCGGCGGCCGCTCGTCGGCGGCGGCGGCGGTCGCCACGGCCTCGCAGGCCGCGCCCGCGTAGGGCGCCTTGCAGAGGCACCGCGCGGCGCCGACGTCGCCGGTCACCGTGTACCCGCCCTCCACGCCGTCGTAGGCGCAGACGCCGCGGTTGCCGCAGACCGAGCCCCCGGACACGGGGCACTCCGTCGGGCAGCCGTACATGGAGTTGAGCGTGAGGGCGTACTCGCAGCCGCGCTTCTCGACGACCTCCTCGACGCGCGGGATGTCCGAGATGCGGTTGTTGCAGACGACGTTGATCCGCAGGCTCCGCGCGCAGTACGTGCGGCCGTCGATGACGTCCTCGCACTCGGCCTTGTCGCTGATGCTGTCCGTGCACGTGTTGCCGCCCTTGTATTGGACGTAGATGCCGAACGCCGGGCTCTGCGGGTCGATCAAGCCCCAGGCGTAGTTGCTCCGGTCCACGGGCGACCCGAGGCGGTAGCACTCCTCGAAGCCCCAGTCGCCCTTGAAGATCTGGTAGCCCGGGCTCGGGAAGTCGTAGACGTCGCCGCCGGAGCCCCGCGTCGACGCGCAGGCCGCGGGCGCGGCGGCGAGGCCGACGTCGCGGCAGACGCCGACGACGTAGGACCAGTTCTGGTGGCTGTGGACGTAGTTGTCGCTGATGGCGTAGTACTGATCCGCGGGCTTGGCGTCGCGCAGCGGCGACAGGTCCCAGTGGAGGTTCGCCCAGGAGAAGGTGCACCGCGCGAGGTCCGACGCGCCGGAGGCGCACGCCGCCATGTCCGTCGTGCACGCGCCGTCGCACCACAGCTCGCCGCAGCTCATGCAGCAGCCGTGGCTGTCGTAGGTCTTCGGCATCGCGGCGGCCGCCAGGGTCAACCAGATCACTTTCGCCATCGTGGAAGCCATGTCCTCGGCGCGCTTCGGAAAGTGAAAACAAAAATCTTTTTGTTGTACTCCCCCGCGGCGCTGGGGGCATGGGCCGCGTCTCGTGATTTTGCTGGCGCGGCCATGGGCTTCCGCCCGGTCGTGGACCCCGAGGAGGCCATGGACATGAGCGTGCCCGTGGGCTTCCTGAGCAGCACGTGGCAGCACCCGGACCTGGGCTACCGGCGGCCGGCGTCGACGGCGGCGCGCTTCGCGGCGACGAACTACGAGCGGGCCCTGGAGCTGAGCCGGAGCGCGCCCGGCCTGACCATCGGCTTCTCCATGGCCGACACGGACCCGGACGAGCACCGGCGCGCGCGGCACCGCGTGTCGCGCGAGCGGCGGCTCCGCGAGGAGCGCGAGGCCCGGGACGTCGTCGACGCCGCGAAGCGCGCGCGGTTCCTCGTCTGCGCGGCCAAGACGGCGCCCGTCATCACGACGTCGCTCCGGGACGTGCTCCGCCAGCGGAAGTCGCTCCTCAAGGGCGCGGACGTGCCCGTGTTCCGCGACGCGGCCCAGTCGTGGGCCGACTACGCCGCGGCCGACGCGGACGAGTCGTCCGGGTCCACGCGCCTCTCGTCCTTCTCGACGCCCCTCACGCGCTCGGCGACGAGCTACGGGGGCCGCCGGTCCGGCGGCGCGTCGAGCCGCGTCGTCGTCGTGCCCGGCTCCGGCGCCGTCGTCGCGGAGCCGGGCGCGCCGCCGCGCGAGCCGGACGGCGACGACGCGGACCCGCGCGGCGACGACCGCGACGACGACGACGACGACGGCGCCCCGCGGTCCGCGCGGCGGTCCCGCGCCGGCGTGGGCAAGGCGCGGGAGCGGTCCATGGTCGGCGGCTACCGCACCGTCAAGGAGATGCGCGACGCGGGCGAGAAGAAGTCCGCGGTGCCGAGCCACATCGCCGACGCCCGGGCGCGAACCAAAACTATGCAACGCGACTTCAACCATGCGTGGAGTGTCGACATACCTTTTTTCACTGTCTGAAAAGAACTCGCCGAGAGCAAGCGACCCGTCCAAAACTCGGCCGAAACGACTTCGATCGTGACCGAGATGGAGAGGTTTTTGCGGGACGGGGCCGTTCCACCGGTTGTTTCCGGCGCAGGTCGACGCGAGGCAGACCATGGTCCACGAGGCCATCGAGGACCACGCGACCGTGGCCCAGCGGCGCGCCGTCGCCGAGCGGCTCTACAACAAGAAGAAGGCGCGGGAGCAGCGGGCGACGACCATGCTCGTCAAGGAGAAGCGCCACGAGTCGGCCGCGCGGGAGCTCGCGGCGCTCAAGGACCGCCAGGCCGCGGCGCGCGCGGAGCACAAGAAGGTCAAGCTGCGCCAGCAGTACGTCGCCGCGCGCTACAAGGGCGCCGCGTCCGTCGAGGCCAAGGCGCAGATGCTGCGCGCGCTGTCGGCGCACATGGCGCACCAGAAGAAGCGCAAGGACGCGCGCGAGCGGTCGCGCGAGCCCGAGATCGTCGAGAAGGTCATCAAGAACCGCGACGGCATGGGCTACCGCAAGCAGTCCGTCGTCGCCGGCGCCGCCGACGGCGCGGCGCTGCCGGGCATCGCGGACGTCGCGCCGCCGACGCTGCGGCGCACGTCCGTGGTGCTCCCGGACCCGCCGGCGAGCGGCGACGGCGGCGACCGGTCGCGGCGGCGCGCGCGGCGCCGGAGCGAGGTGCCCCGGGAGGTCGCCGAGCTGACGGGCGCGCGCCCGCCGGCGGAGCCGGACCTGAGCCTGTCCGTGGACTCGCCGGGCCCGGGCTCGCCCGACGCGCGCGCCGCGCCGCGGCCCTCGCCGGCCAGGGCGCGCCACTCGATGCGCCGCGGCGCCTCCGACGCGCCGTCGCCGCGGCGAGCCTCGGCCCAGACGCCGCCGGGCCCGCGGCCGTCGTCGCCGGCCGCGCGGCCCGCGCCCACGGAGCCCACGGAGCCGCCGTGCTCGTCGACGTCGGAGGTGTCCGTGACGCTGCCCCAGGCCTACGCCGAGTCGCCGCCGCCGACGCCGCCGACGCCCATGCCCCAGATCAAGCGCCGCCAGGCCATGCTCATGGCGTCGACGAGCCAGGGGTCCCAGGAGCCCACCGTCGCCGAGGAGGCGGCCGACGACGCGAGCCTCAACTTCTCCCAGTCCCTCGACGACGCCGCGTCCATCGCCACGGGCGAGAGCCTAGCGGGCTAACTGGGGCGAACGTGAAGAACGAGCGACGCGAGAGGGGAGCCATCGCAGGCTGGCCCCGCCGAACGGGGGGAACAAAGGGCGGCCGGGGGCGCGGGCGGGCGGCGCGGCCCCGGGCGCGGAGGCGCGGCCGCGCGACCTAGAGGGGCTTCGTCGCGACGAACTTGACGCCGCCGAGGTGGCCGCCCTTGAAGAGCCCCGCGACGGAGGCGTAGAAGTGCTTCTGGGAGTCGTAGGTCGGCCGGCCGTGGACGCGGACGTGGCGGTCCTCCGCGGCGACGTACGCCGCCAGGCGGTCGTTGGTGAAGGCCGTCCAGCTCGCCGTGAGGTCCGTCCACTCGCAGTTTTCGAAGCCCGCGTCCGCGATGGCCGCCTCGTAGGCGCCCCGGGACGGCAGCGCGAACGCGAAGACGTCGACCTCGAGCTGCGCCTGCTCCGCCGCCGACAGGCCCCGGTCGTAGAAGTCCTCCACGAGCAGGGACCCGCCGGGCTCGAGGAAGTCGTAGGCCGCCTTCAGGATCGCCGCCGTGTCCTCGATGTGGAGGAAGCAGAGGAAGCTCACGACGTGGCCGAATCGGCGGCCTTCGAGCGCCGGCGGCGGCGCCAGCGCGTCGCCGCAGATGTGCTCGACGTTGCCGAGGCCGCAGCGCCGCGTCAGGGCGTCGGCGGCGGCGGAGACGTCTCCCTGGAGCTCGAGGCCCGCGACGGCGCAGTGCTGCGTCGCCGCGACGCGGCGGACGACGCCGCCGAGGCCCGAGCCGATCTCGAGGACGGTGCTCCCCGCGCCGAGACCGAGGCGCGCCGACGCCTCGTCGACGGCCTTGACGCCGTGGTAGTGCATGCTGTCGATGGCGCTCAGCGCGCCCGCGTCCAGGGGGCCGTCGGCGGCGAGGCCCCGCTCGACGAGCTCGCGGTCGAAGCGCTCGAGGTGGTTGTAGAGCTGCATGGTCTTGATCTCCACGGCGGCGCTCATGGCGGTCGCAACGGGCCGCGCGCGCAATGCACCGGAATAGGCGACTGCGGTAGCAGCTGGTGACGACACGGGCTGCGAGCGTCTTCGGGTGGTGAAGCGAGAGCTCCTGCTATGGCATTTTTATATTCAGCGACTTCGGAAGCTCTCACGGCTACTCTCGGTGATACTGCCGTGTTGCAGCGCCTTTTGCAAGGGGTAATAAATAATATGGGGTGGCAGCTCAACGAGATATTGCCGCGCGAGGTCCTCGTACTGCAACCATGAGATCGCGGGGGAAGGTGCCGCGGGCTGCCCGGACGCAATGGAGGGCCAGGAGGGCGCGCCCGGCGTAGAGGGGCCCCCCACAGCGGACGCGCCGCCCGCGGCCGACGCCGACGTGCCGGGCCACAGGCGGCCGATCGACGCGTCCCAGAAGCGCCGCCTCTGGAAGTTCTTCGACGAGAACTACGTGGGCTGGCGCAGCTCGAACCTACCGAGGGAGGGCGTCGACGAGAAGCTCGACAAGTTCATCACGGAGATCGAGCTCGTGCGCACGCAGGTCTCGAGGCAGCTCACCTCGTGGAAGAAGGCGAAGAACCCGGCCGCCGTCGCGCTCACGCTCGACGTGTTTTCCCGGCGCCGCGTCGTCGCGGGGCCATGATCTCATCGACTGCATCGTAGGCGTCGCGCGAGGACCTCAAGCAGCGCATCGCCGCGCGCATCGGCTGCCTGCGGGACCTCACAGCAGCCGCCCTCGCCGACGCGAAGTCGATGCTCAAGGACGTGACGGCGGCGGCCGACGTCGTCGATCGACTGCTGAAAGATGACGAGCCGGTCCAGGGCGCGGCGGACTTCGGGGACCGCTTCTTCGAGGACCTCATCGACGCCTTGGCAATGACCTCCTCGAAATCTGCGGGCGGCGGCATGGCGGCGTCGAAGGCGTTCTTCGAGCAACGGTTGACGATCATCGACGAGCAGCAGACGCTCTGGAACCAGATGCACTCCGTCACGGACCAGCTCTCGCGGGAGGAGAAGCTGACTATTACCAGGGCCTTTGTCGCCTTCGAGATGGCCGCCTTCGACGGGTTCAAGGAGGCGATCGCCGACGTGGACCTCCCAGACCTCGTCGTCGAAACGGTGGGCCCCGTGCACCTCAAAGACGCGCGCGCGCCCTTGGTCTACTACCTCGCCGGGTGGCTCCTCTTCACGCTCTTCCGCCTCAAGTCCGAGGACCCCTTCTACGCCATGTACGTCAGCCACAACAACATCTCGAGGGGCGAGGCCGAGGAGGCCAAAATGCCCCTGGGCATCACCCTTAGGCGGCCCGCAACTAAGGGGGTCTTCCTGGCCTCGCCGCCCCTCTTCGACTTCGTCTGGGCCGTCGAGGCCACCTACGCGAAGCTCCTCACGACCGCCAACCTCGTCGCCTACGAGGGGGCCCTTGTCACGAAAGTGAACAAGCTCCTCTCGAAGGACCCGGCCGTCGCGCAGTGCTTCCGTGCTACCATCACGGACGACATGAAGGCCGCCATCGCCACGTCCAGCGCGGAGCCGCCCGTCGCCGAGGTGATGCAGCGCCTGCTCGACAAGTACGCGCGGATGCGCGGCCGGGACCTCGTCGGCAAGCTTATGTCGAATCTTCGGTCCGCAGCCTTCGCTGCCAACACGCACCGTGGCGGCCTGGCGGCGGCCGCGACTCATGCGAAGAAGAAGAGTAGGGCCGGGGAGCGCCACGACGCCGGCGAGGACGAGCTCGACGTCGGCGATGTCGCCCAAATTTACGCGGACCTGGAAGCCGAGGAGGAGAGCCTGGACGCCGAGGCTCTTCAGTAGCCATATATAATATAATAATTAATTACAAATTAAATTATAGTATATCATAGTAAAATAATTATCTAACTCAAATTATTTTTTACGCCTAATTAGCGGGGCGGAGGAGCTCGTAAGAGTAGGAGCGGAGGAGTGGTTGCCCGCTCCGCGGAACAGGCGGCAGACTCCGGCAGTCCCCGTAGCCTTCAGGGCTTTCTCCATGCCTGGGGCATGGGTCGAGCCAGCACTGTACCGTACGTGTGCGAAATGATGTTCGCATATGTCTTGCATAAGACGCCGGGTTACCAGCAGGGCGCGCGGAAATTTGCGCAAATAAAAACAACCAAGGGAGATAGTGCCGCAAATGATGCTTTTTAAATCATACCAGCTCTCTTACGTGATAAAAGATTATTTTTTTACCTTTTCAGGAAGGTCTGAAGACTCAAGACCACTCTGCCACTGTTCATACCATCACAAAATTTCGCCCAGTTCCATGAATCATTTTTCTCCATTATGAATGCTGATGTTGCCAGCCTTCCCATTCATGATATCAACGAACTGATTCGTTTTACCACACAAGTCTCTTAGCTGGCTGAATAATTTTTTTTTCCCCACATCATTCGCAGTGTACTCATCAATAATTTAGACCATGCTGTTGCTCTAAACTTACACTGCGAGCGGGACCCTCATTCTAGAAAAGCAATCCTTCTTAAAGTGCTCACGAGTAAGTTTACCTATGTATAGCAGTCATTTTACACTCGATTTGGCTGATTTTTGGACGAGCAGTCGTCTCTCGAAGTGTTCTCGAAGCATGGATGATCCCCTCAAAACGACCCACGCAAATACTTCGAAGTTGAAGTTGGGTTGAATCATTCGTGGTACTCCGTAGCTTACGAGCCCGCCGCAGGCCCCCCTCACCGGCGAGCTTCGACGAGTCGTTCTCGTAGGCGACCCAGGCGTCGTGGAGCATCATCAGTTGCATGGGCCGGGCGATTCCATCGTCGTCGAACTTCTGCATGTCACGTGCCGTGTTCTTGTTGCCCGAGGACTCCAGGGCATTGCACTACTTCTTCACGAAGTGGGGCATGTCCGAGAGCATGAAGATGGGGTAGTCCCAGCCGCGGGTCGGGTGCTTCATGGCCACCTTCGTGCTCGTGTCGAAGGGCCATTCCACGTTGAACGCCGAGCCCACGCCGTTGACGTAGTCGGCGGCCGGACGGGTCATCATCATCTGCATGAGCGTGCGGTTCTCCGACGCGCCGTCGCACGCCGTCGCGACCACGATGAAGGACTTGAGGTCCAGGTGGAAGATGAGGTTGCGCAGCATGCAGCCGAGCCCCGGGGCCGTGATGCTCTTCAGCCCGAACCGCCCGACGGGGAAGGCAAAGTCGGAGACGCCGAGCCCGACGAAGTAGAACACGAGGTAGTGCTTCGCCACCTCCGGGAGCTTCGCCTCCTTCTCGCCCTCGACGATGCTCTTGGCCATCTAGTTGAACTCGGACGTGACCGTGTCGTAGAGCATGTCGTTGTACGGAAAGCCCAGGATCTTGCCCTAGTTCGCCGACCACCAGAGGCCGCCGCGCACGGTCATGGCGTCGAAGGCGACGCAGCCGCAGCGCTCCCACTCGTGGTCGAGCTTCTAGTTGTCGGCCTTCTGCTTCATCGCGTCCATCATGCCGAGCATGGGGCCCTCGTCATCGTCGGAGGCAAAGTTCGTGTGGTCCCGGACGTAGCGGGCCGTAGGTAGGAAGAAGATCTTGTTCATCTCGTCGTAGGCCGTGGCCCCGAGCCGCGAGTAGAGCAGGATCGCCAGCTTGATGGTCTCCGGCTAGTAGCGGCAGCCGTAGCGGCGCCCGTCATGCTTCGCAGCAGACTTGATGCTCGTGAACTGGTCCTCCCAGATGGCCAACTTCGCGGGGTCGTCCTAGAAGAGCTTGTAGGCGTCCTTGTTGGCCTTCTAGAAGATCTTCTCGAACTTCTGGTGCTCCTCGGGGGCCTCGATGGGCACGCCGGTGGTCGTCCGGTAGTTGAGCGCCCTGCCACGGTAGTGGTCCCGCAGCTTCTTCAGTCGCTTCGAGCTGTCCTCCATCGCGTCGAGAGCTCGGCCGGGGCTTTAGATCACCGAGGAGTGTGGCTCGAACTTGCTGGGCCTGGCCTCGCGCTGGGAACGGCCGCCTGACGCGCC